GTCAATCCTGGATTTTTCAGCTCCTGCAGCCATATGAATCAGAAAAAAGCTCCTAGCCTAACGTATGATCCATGGACTTGGGATTTGTCAGCCTCTATAACCTCATGAGTCATTTCCTAGAGAAAAATCTCACTCTCTCTTTTTCTAAACACACACACACACACACACACACACAGAGCTTCACTGGTTTTGCTTCTCTAGAGAACCCAGCCTAAGACATTCACCAACACCATAATTCAAAGGCATTGATTCTGCATTGGTCTTCTCTACTTATTATGCAGCTTTCCCATGCATATGAGGCCAGTGAAAATGCCATGGCTTGGGTCAGGTGCACCATAGACCTCAAAGTGTCATCTTTGCTTTTTCACACTTTAAAGAGGTCTTTTGCAGCAAATTCATCCAAAGCAATATGTCATTTGATGTTCTGACTGCTGCTTTCATGGCCATTGATTGTGGATCCACATTGTTGTGGTTACTTCGTGTTACTCTAACAGAATAGATGACAAATGAGTGGCTTAAACAAACAGGAGTTTATTCTTTTATAGCTTTGGGGGCAAAAAGTCTGAGTTCAAAGTGCCAGGTCTAGGGGTTGGGTGAAAACCCCTCGACCTTGGACTTCAGCTCTGCGTCTTTCTCTTGGCCCACTGAAGCTAGAGGCATCTCTTCACTTAGGCAGCTGCTAGCTGCTGAGGCTAACAAGCCCAAGGTTGACAAATAAAATGGCACAGTCATGATATTAGCAACCCACATGACAGGCCATTGATTTAAGTCCCATTAACAGTCCTAAGATCGGCAGACAACCTGGCAGGCTGCTAGATAACGACTCAGCTACATGCAGGATTCAAGCATGCCAAAAGCTGGAGACCTTCCTCAAAGTTGCTTATTATATACTGGAAGCAGACCACATCCCTAAAACAGCTACTCAGCTGTTCCAGGAGATTCCACATGGAATTAATTATCAATCTCACCATGGGGAATAACTACATCCAGCTGCCCAGCCACTCAAAACCAGGCCCAGCCAAGTTGACACACAACTGTAACTACCACACAAGTAAAATAAAATCCTTGACAATGTCATTCATTTTTCTCTTGATCATAATGTTGCTTTTTGGTCCAATTATAAGGATTTTTGTTTTCTTTATGTTGAGGTGTAATCCATACTGAGGGCTGTAGTCTTTGATCTTCATCAATAAGTGTTCAAGACTTCTTCACTTTCAGCAAGCAAGGCTGTGTCATCTGCACATTGCATTGTTAATGCATTTTAATAAAAATTATATAATTTATGTAATTATATGAAAGCTTCTGTTTGGAAAAATTATTTTGAGAAAATGGATACCAATCTGTTCTGTCACTACTATTTTTTTTCAGCAAAGAAATTGTGACTTGTAATATGAGCCTCTAGTTATAAATTTTCAGATATGTCATATAAATGTAAAGTCATTTTTTTTGGTCAGATCACAAGAAGAAAATATGATCAATATTAACTTATTACATTTCTAAATGTAAACATGTAGAGAATAAGTTACTAATTATGTCTCTCAGCCATGCAATAAGGCAGAAGATATGTCTATAATGCTTTGTATGTTAAGAATGTATTTAAGTGCCAGACAAGAAAATACAGAGTGATATTCAAAACTCATGCATACAAATGTATCTTCACATGGAATGGATGGAAACAATTTCATAAAACTGGCCATGAGAAAGTTATGCTTTCTAGAAGGTTGTTGTTGTTATGTGCTGTCAATTCGTACCTGACTCACAGAGACCCCTCCTTGGGTTTCCAAGGCAGTATCACTACGGAAGTAGATTGCCCCATCTTCCTTCCGAGGAGTGGCTGGTGGGTTTGAACTGCCAGCCTTCTGGTTAGCAGTCAAGTGCTTTAGGCACTTCACTACCAGAGCTCCTTTCTAGAAGGTAGACATGGAGAAATTAAGTTTTTACAATTTTCTGGTGGTGTAGTGCCTAAGGCATTTGACTGCTAACCAGAAGGCTGGCGGTTCACACCCACCAGCCACTCCTCAGAAGGAAGGTTAGGCAATCTACTTCCACAGAGATACCACCTTGGAAACCCAAGGAGGGGTTGCTATGAGTCAGATCCGATTCGATGGCAGTGAGTTTGTTTTTGTTTTTTTATGTCTTGTAAAGCATATAAAATGAGGGGAAAATATTTTACCCAAAGATAATCAAAGCACAAAACTATAGTTCTCTGTTTATAAGGAACAAATCATATCCAAAAATATCACATTTAGGCTACTTGACATTATTTGGCCATGAGGTACCAAATGATTTTCTAAGGGCAGCAAGATCAAGTGCATTAAGGTCGTGTAAGCTAGGCACGACATAGTCAAGAAAGTAATTTTTGTTTAAATAGCCAAATGAACTATGCTATTATATCAGCTCATACAAAGAACTTCTGTTAGATACACGAGAAAATAGGGACAGACAATGAAAACATAAAAAAAAAAAAGCTACATTTAATATCAGACCACACAGTGGTTGGATGTGACTAAAACAAGTAAATGCTGCACTCTGAGCTTAGTAAGTGATAAATGTGTTGGTGTCCAATAACAGTTAATGACACCCCCAAAAATCTATTTCAATTTATAGTCCCTGAATGAAACTAACCAAAACCAAAACCAGACTCACTGCAGTCGAGTTGTTTCTGACTCATAGCAACCCCTTCTTGGGTTTCCAAGGCGGTATCTCTATGGAAGTTTGCCCAATCTTCCTTCACAGGAGTAGCTGGTGGTTTTGAACCACCAGCCTTCTGGTTAGCAGTCAAATGCCTTAGGCACTACACTGCCAGAGCTCCTATAAAGAGCACAGAACACATATATTTTTATAGAACACACACATTTTTATTTTACTAAAGCACACTGAAAATATGCCTTCCAATTATTTTCCCATTAGCCTTGTGTGGGATTGGAAAGTATAGGGTATGGATGCCGCAGTATGATATGACATGTCTATTACATCATTACAAGAAATGAAAGGGGAAAAAGTACCAAAGATTTTTAGACAGACTGTGAATGTGAAACTGCAACTTGTCTCAAAGACTAGTTGGATTTGAAGTAGAAGCAAGTGGGAAGAATCTCTCCCTTAATATTTAAGAGCACAGTAAAGTGATATCCGATTTGTAAATCAAACCCATATGTATCTGGTTGCTCATTCCTGATACGGCACAGACAATCTCTGGGCATCCCCACTATGACTGGAAAGGACATCTGTCATCCCGGGCGACTGGCTTCCAGCACAGGCTCATCACGAGGCAGTCCCCGTAAATAGAATCCTTGCGGGCAGGGCATGGACAGGGAGACTTTGCTCCATGAATGTCACAAAAGCTCCAGAGGGCTGCAAACCAAGCCAAAGGGGGCTGGGAAGAACCTTAGCAGGCTCCACTTGTGCTTGCTCTACATGTAAAACTGAACCCTTACTGAAGGGAGTAAGATATTTGGCAAGACAATGGTATTAAAAGAGAGAGACAGAAAGATACCTTTGGGAAAAGGTTATAAAAATATTTGTTCTAATGGTTGTTCTATCCATATTTTGTAGCCTTGGAAAGAACAATGCTCTCTGGATATTTTCCTTAACAAGACCTCACACATTTTTACTACTGGCTGGGAATGTTAGCTACATGAACAATGTGATGAAGCGTTAGCAAAGAAAGAGGCCATTATACTTCATACAGGGCAGGTTACAATATGGGTTGAACCACAAATGAGTCAATGAGTCTCTGGCCTGAATTTGACTTCCGGGAACAAAGCCTGTGAGCAGAAACTGCAGTCTTGTAGCAAACTGCTAAAATAAAAATTGTTGTTAGATGTTGGTTCCTGTTTCCCTCCTTTTCAATAGAATCCAAAACAAAGTGACCTCTCTTGTTCTCTACTCCTCTAACTTTCTTTCCAGCCATGCTCGCTCTCACAGCTGCCTGTGGTCCCTAAAACTGTGAACTTCAGGAAGGAACAGTAAAGGACGCTTCAGAACTGGACCACCACTGAAGTTTAATTACTCTCACTCACACTTCAGTCCATGCTTTAACGGTTGATTTCTGCTGGGCCTACATTGTATAAATTGGGTACAGAAAGTTCTAGCAGGTTTACAATCTCCTCTTCCCCTACCCCTTTTCTTCACGGACTGAAGACTAATGGATGAAAAAATGCAGATAAATCTGGCATTACGGATACCTTTTTGTTCTATTCTCACTCAAGAAGCAGGACCCTTGCTCTCCTGATATGTGTTTTTTTTACCCAAAACAAGCAAGTCTTTGAATGGAGAGCTTAGCCAGAGCTGGGTGGTGGTTGTGGTTTAGCAAGTGTCTGGGGATGGAAGTGGGGAGAAAGTCTATAGCTGAGAGGGAGAAGGTGGAATTATGAGTGTGTGGGAGCAAGGATGTGGAGGACCACTTTCATCTGTTATTTCATTTTCTCTAACAGTTGTTTTTCCAGAACAGCTACTCAGTATGAGCAAACATGAAACCAGCCTCTTGACTTTGGTGATAATACTTCATAAGCGTCTGAAGGTGAGAGCCTTCTGCCCTGGCCCTTGGCACCCGTTCACCATGAGTCAATAGTACTTAAATAGAATCTCAACAGGCTGGAGCTGGCTGCAACGGGACAGAGTCATCCTTTCCTCTGTGTTCTGAAAAAAATCTGCCCACATGTAAACAAGAAACTGCTATAACAATTTGAGTGAAAAACAAAAACAAGACAAGATAAAACCAAAAGTCCCAAAAAACATATCATACTACTTTCTAGATTTGTGTATGCATTGACAACATATTGACTTTAACAAGTTTGTGAGCCTTAGGTTTCCTCAAACTTCCCTGAGGCTTAAAGCTGCTGCTCCCTGGATTAAAGGACACAATGAGAAGAAACCTGATCCACGGTGTGTGCATGTATAGACAGACATCAAGGCACAAGCTTTAGGTTCAGAGCAGCTTTTAGCAGTGTGTCAGTTCTCACCCTAACCCCTCCCCCTGCCCTTCCCCCCTGGCGCCCCACCTCTGTTATCTCGTCTCTTGCAGCACAATACTCTAAGCTGTGGGACAGGGCTTGCTCATACTCCTTGGCTTTGGCACGACAGTTCACACTGTCCCCCTCAAGGATCTCCAGCTGCTGCTGTAGGTTCTTTGCAGAAACATTGGAGCAGTTCTAAAAATGAAAGAGAAATGAAAGTGACAAAGGGAAGGAATGAAACAGTAAGGAGATTGATAAGGTATTTACCTGCATTCTGAAACTCATAAATGACAGTAACAAAAATAACAAAATAGGCTCCTGATTTATTTTACCTTAAGTATATATGAATATAATTACTCCAGAAAGAAGCCAGACACTCACATTATGGGAACGGCAAACCATTACATTTCCAGTCTTAAATCTCCAGTTTTGATGATTTGCTCATCATACTCAACTCCTCACAGACACCGTTCATTATAAGGTATAATTTTTACTTCAAAAGGCATAAAATATGCATTAGAAACGTTCAGCTCCAGCACTATAATTTTCCTGTCAACTTGAGCTTAACCTCAGGTTCATTATGGAAGTGCTCCAATCTCTACTCAACGCAGAGGGGCTGCTGGGGCCGAGGCCAGACGTGGACAGGAGAACAATTCACATTATTTGTGCAAAGTGCGACTTATTTTCTTTTTAAAATAAACTCACTAGTAACGTCAAACTCTTAAAAAGAAAGACTTTTCTTGGTAAAAACAGATTTTATTAACAAGATACTTTTGTATTTCTGTGTTTTTCAGTTAAAAAAATTAGGTTCACTGCATTCCATATTATTGATTCTGACTCATGGCGACCCCATCAGTGTCAGAGTGGAAGTGTGCTCTAAAGAGCTTTCAAGGGCTGATTTTTCGGAAGTAGATCACCAAGCCTTTCTTCTGAGAGTCTGGGTGGATTTGAACTGCCAACTGTTCAGTTATCAGCCCAGCCGAGTGCATTAACTGTTTGTACCACCTGAGGACTACATTCCATATAGCTTAGTGGATATCTTAAATAACCTTTACAATAAAATTTACCATCATTATTTTTAATGATATACATATTGGAGAGAATAAAGATAATTTTTTCCTCCTCAAACTAGGAATTTGGAAAAGGATGTTTTAAAAATCAAAGCTCAGTGTATATTATTTATTAGAACCTGATCTGGAAATACTTCCTTTTCTTTTGGGCACCCCTTTGAGGTCAGTCCAAGGGCATAGAGCAGAGAAAATGACCAATGCCCAGAGTCCTGGGTGGGACAGCAGGCTTCGGCTCTACCATTCTGGTCTCTCACAGTCTACCAGCCACAGAGGATAAGGCAGCCATCTTCTTTGGGCCCCAGAGTCTCCAACTATAAAATGAGAGTCCTGGACTAGCTAATTGCTAAGATGCTTCCAGAACTGACATGCTGAAGCAGCATTCTCCAATAGAAAAGTAATGTGAGCCATACAAGTAATTTAAATTTTTCTAATCATATTAAAATGTAAATAAAAATAACCAGTGAAATGACTCTTCATGATGCATTTTATTTAAACTAATATACCCAAGTATCATCATTTTGACCTGTAACCAATATGAAAAAATGATTTTTTTTCTTTTTTTTTTTTTTAACTAAATCTGAAATCTGGTGTGTATTTCATATGTAGAGCACATCTGATTCTGCTGATGAAATTTCTATCAAAAATACTTGATATGTGTTTAGGTTTTATAAAATCTACAGTTTAAAAAGTAGATTCACATACCCATGTTGTTCCCAGCATACTTAAAAGTATTCCAGTAACTGCACAGACTAACAGTTTTTAAATTTTAATTAAGATTAAATAAAATAGAAAGTTTAGTTCTTTAGTTGTATTAGTCACATTTCAAGTACTAAAAAAGACTACCATATTGGAGAGTAACACATACACTTTGATTTTTAAAACTCATATGAGAACAGATACATTAAAGACTTTCATTTTTCCATTTTCCTCCTTAAATATTTTTGCTTTTTTTATAAACCAACTCTATTGCCATCAAGTCGATCCTGCCTCATAGCAACCCTATGCAACAAAGTCGAACTGCCTCAGGGGGTTTCCTAGGCTGTAATCTTTATGGAAGCTAAGTGTCACAACTTCTTCCTGTGGAGTGGCTGGTGGGTTCAAACCACTGACCTTTCAGGTAGGAGCCAACCGCTTTAGCCATTGTACCAGGGCTCCTTGCTTTTGTTATAACTGTTAGAAACTTGCTACAAATAACTGCCCCAATTGTTTAATGTATTTTTCATTTAATATATATTAGACAATCTGGTTTCGTTCATGTTATATCCCAAGTCCCAGGTATAAATAATGGTGTTCAAAGTTGCTTACAGGCTGCTGCACCGATGAGATGATGCCCACTCCCAAGGACAGGGCCAGCTGATGGAGATGGTCTATGTGTGCCTGCTTCTCCTGCGAACGACTGAGACGAACGTGGGCATCCTGAGCATCACTCAGCTCCTTTGGCTGCTCCAGAAACTCTAGTTCTCTTAATTTGATGAGCTGTCCCAGCTGGAATTGAGGCCATGAACAATTAACCTGGATTCCACATTCATAATATACTTTAAAGAAAGTTTTTTTTAATCCCATTTCCCATTTATAATCCATTCACCACTAAAAAAAACCAAAACCAAAACAAAACAAAAAACAACCAAACTCACTGTTATTGAGTCAATTCTCACACCTAGTGAACCCCATTGGGTTTTCAAGGCTGTAAATCTTCATGGAAGTAGATTTCCCCGTCTTCCCATCTTCCTTCCATGGAGCGGCTGGTGGGTTTAAACTGCCAATCTTCTGATTAGCAGTCAAGTGCCTTAGGGACTGCGCCACCAGAGCTCCTTAATGCTGCCCAGCACATCCATAACATTAGTGCCATAGCCAAATAAATGTTAAACCCAAACAAACACTCATTGCCTTTCAGTTGATTCCCACTCATAGTGACCCCACAGAACACAGTAGAGCTGCCCCATAGGTTTCCAAGGCTATAATCCTTATGGAAGCAGACTGCCACATCTTTCTCCCATGCTAGTGGGTTCAAACTGTGGACCTTATAGTCAGTAGCCTGACACTCTTAACCACTATGTCATCATGGCTTCTTAAATGAATGTTACAATGTTGCAAACCAACTGGGTAAAATTGAGGAACCACCAATGTCGGTGATATATTAAAGAAGAAAACACTCCTTTTCTATACAGAGTACAAATGTTTAGCAAGGTTTAGGCCTATGATCTGAGAAAATTCAGAAGGTTATTTTAAAGAGATATGAATATATCTCCCTTTTGTGTTAAAAAAGGGGACAATGACTATTTCACCATTTCAGGTCCTCAAGATACAAAAAACTGAACTTGGTCTCTGCCATCAAAGAGCTTATACATACTTGAGTTGGGAAATAAAAGCTAACTTTGACAAAAAGAATCAGGACAGTAAAAAGGACAGATGTGTGGAACAAGCAATGACAGCTCTAGGACTTTAGAAGAGGGCTAAATCACTCCAAGTGAGGCATGATCAGTGGAAGAAAGAACAGGGGTTAGATGGTAGACGGGAGAGAGAAGGACCTACCAGGTATGGGCACCTGAGAGTGAGGGCGTGGAGTAGGAACATGTGCACCATGTGAGGGACAAAGAAGCGGCTGAATGTAAAGGGAGGATAGGGGCACAGTGAGAGAGAAGTTTAGGACCCGACTGTGTAAAGCTTCCAATATCAGAATAAGTACTTTGGCAGTGAATACAGAATAGTTTTTATAAAATTCCGTTGTTTAAAATTCGGGGTCTTCCAGGTATCCATTGCAAGTCTTACCTCTTCCTTTACTTGGTGAAACTGGACTACCTTGTACAGGATATTCTCGTAATCTTGGATTCTCTCTTTTTGTTTCTGATGGAGGTGAATAAGGTCCCTCAGTTGTTGAGACTTTTCTTTCACAGGGGCTCCTTTACCACTTAACTCTTCTGATAATTTTATAATGTATTGAACTTCATCATTCAGTTGCTAAAAATTTTAAAGCAATTTAAGAATTCTAGTTTTTAGAGAGTTTTCACTTAACAGCTGACAATACAAAGATCTAAATACTGAATCTTCCTCTCATTTGCTAACAAACCATGATTGTGAGCCCTCCAAAATTCCAGGCATTGCACTTCCTGCTAGGGACATGTTATTCTATCCCCATCTTCTCAGAAATTAAAAAAAAAAGGAAGTGGGAGCAATGCAAAAATGTGCTTTATTCAAATGGTTATGGTGAAAGCTTCAGTTAGAACAATAGAATGGAACGTCACATATTGTTTCTATGACCAACTTAATATTCTAATCACCTCCTAAGCAAATATAGTTTAGAATATGTTATGAATCCTCATAATTATCTCCATGTAATACAGACTAGATTCAGATGGTATTATTAAGAACACTAAGACAAGTGTAAAAATTTAATCGGGGAATGATGAAAATGAAGCACCAACTGAACAACACTGTTTTAAATGCAGTCATCAGAAATCCACAAATGTAGGGAAGGATAAACTACCTTGCCTTTTACCTAGCTCAGATATCCCTTAAAGGTGCCCAGACCCTAGGGTAGAACTTACAAAGGTAGACAACTTGAAGAGGGAGCTACTATAAAATTTCAGGGATGGATCCTGTATCAAAGGTAAGAGGAATGGAAATAATTTAGTCCAAGAAGATAATTTGTAGGAAAGTGACCTAATAGGAATGTTCAAGTTAAAATCAAGCAAATGGCCATCTAACATATGCTGCATATGTCATTACAGTGACAGAGCTAAAGAAGCTTGTCAATGATCCTTGACTTCGAGGAACTTAACATACCCCCACACACCCTACACAAACAATGCAGGTAAGTATACAGTGCAGGGTATAACGAGCAACCTAACCTGTAGGCTAGCTGGGACATTTTTCAGAAGTATGGAGGAAAAGGTTCACTTCAGACTATAATGGTGTGTATCTGTGGGGCGTGATGGAATTTATATATATTACATCAGTTTTGATTTTAAAAAACATACAATTACTTATTTCCTAAAGGAATTCTCAGTCTTCTGAGTTTCTTCCAAGTGAACACTGATGAAGTTGTGAAGACAGAAGAGCACAGGTCTTAATTTTACATCATAGAATAAGAATCCAGGCAGAAGGATAACATGACTGGCAACCATTTTGGGATGATGGGAGGAGCCCAGGGTATCGTGGGGACAAGGACATCACAGTGATAATTTCAGGGGCTGAGGCTTACACAGCTGCCCTTGAGGTTGCCCATCCTTGTTCTGAGATGCTTCAACCTAAAACATGTCTATACTCCCTAGAAAAATAATTAGTTAATATATATGATAAATATATTAACATGGAAATAATTTCATATAAATAAAATAAGCTAAGAGAAAAATATGTTAAAGACATTTTGTGGCCTTAATATGCATGTGTCATCATATACAAAACAGTGCAGAAATACAGTAAGAAAAATGTTTTTACTGTGAATTTTCAGACAAAAAAATAATAATAAAAAAAAGCAATTCACCAGTCTGTTAAAATTAATTATGTGACCCACAACAAAATAGTTTTTAAATTATGTCCATTCACCCAAGTCCATCAACCTCTGTCTTTCTTCACCTGGAACTGTGGCTTCATTTCATTCCATTTTCTCCGTAGATCTAAAATGGTCTGAAGTCTCCCTCCAAGGTCAAGTGCAGATACTGGCATAAGTGCTTCCTGAAGACGTTTTAAGTTGTGAGTAGTCTGAAATAAATATTGAGTGGTTATTCATCTGCTTTCTTTGACAGCACCTGCAAATATGTGCAATCATTTTAGTGATGACTTGCTGTCATCAAACTTCTCAATCCTTACAAAGCATGCACTACCTGGAGAGACCTTGGGCTTCTAAACCATCAATGAACAAAAATACCAGCCCTGGATTTCCTTTACCTTTTTCAGTTGCTCTTTGAATGCTTCCCACTGCTGTTTCACAGGCTTGCTTCCAATGTTTTTAACTTGCCATGCCACCCAAAGGTGGGAAAGTGCTTCCCTGTGTGCCTTTTGGTTCTCCACAGTGTTCCTCATAATGTACACTTCATTTTCCACATTTAATACCTCATTCTCTTGTGCCTGTTAAATGAATAATCCATGTAACTGTGTTTCTTTCCCAAGAGATAAAACTATTTTGCATAGAACTATTTTAGGAGGAAAAATGTTTTATCACAGCCAAAGCAGGATCCAATGTTCCGCTAAATCTGGATTCTTTATTTGCAGCACAATTATGCTCTCAGAACCCCGTCTATGCTGAACAACTGGCCGTGAGTTCCTTTTATTTATTTATTTATTGTGATTTGGGTGAAGATTTACAGAGCAAATTCACTTTCCATACAGCAGTTCACATATACTTTGTCTCATGTCATTGACCACAGTTTACCACAATGCAACAGCTCCCCTCCCACTTCCTCCCCATAGTTACCACTTCCCAGTGACCATCCCTCCATACTCTCCTGCACCCTGAGCTGTCTCCCTGTGCATAAGCAGCCCTTCCTTCTCCCATGATTGTTCTCTCCAGGGCGTGTGTCTACTTGAGGTAAATGTTTAACTTACATGCCTGTACTTTGTTTGGCTGGAAACCACAGGTGTGGGTTCAATTCCAGACCTGAAGGGCAGCTAGGGGCCATAGTCTCAGTGGTTCCACCAGGCTCTATTGGACCAGCAAACCTGGTCCCCTTTTTTTTTTTTTTTTCCCTCCAAATGATTTTGAGTTTTGTTCCACATTGTTCTCCCTCTCTATCCAGGATTTCCTACATCCCTTCCAAGTGGATGACAGTGGTAGCCAGGCACCATCTAGTTCTTCTGGTCTCATAGTTGTGTAGGTTGCAGATCGGATGGTGTACCAGTCGCTAGGACTGATTGTTTCTCTTAATTTTGGTTTTCTTCTTTCTTCTTCGCTCTTGACGAGGAGAGACCCATCGTTGCATCTAGATTGACCGTGAGGTCTTCAAGATCCTGGTGCTGTTTGAATTTTCCCTTACATTCTGGTTCTTTCCTGGTGTTTGAGGAATGGCTTAATAAGCTCCAGGATCCAGAATTTTGAAATAAAGATATTTTTAATGCATTAGGTTTAAAGTATATCTCATCTATTATTTCACTCACTAGAATATGTTAAAATCTCAGTATCAGGCAATAAGGAGGGGCAGGCTTTTTTGAAGGGGCTCTGTTATTTATTTATTTATTTAACTATCTTGTTGTATATGTTACAATTATTTTAAATTTTCCTGTAAGAAGTTCCTCAAGTTACTCCCTTTTGTGAGAAATGAAATATATTTTGTAACTATGATTAACAAGATTCAATATACAAGGAAAGGTATTAGATAACTATAGTAGGAACTCATCTCAAAATCCTATTTTGTATCTATGCTATAAATAGGAACCCTGGTGACACAGTGATTAAGCACGTGGCTGCAAACCAAAAGGTTGGCATCAAACCCTCTAGTGGCTCTGTGGGAGAAAGATGTAGCAGTCTGCCTGTGTAAGGTTTCCAGCCTTGGAAACCTTGTGGGACAGTTCCACTATGTTCTATGCTGTTGCTGTTGTTAGGTGCTATCAAGTCAATTCTGACTTACAGTGATCCCATGTACAACTGAATGAAATACTGCCCAATCCTGTGCCATCTTCACAATCACTGCTACTTCTCCAGTCATATTGTGAGTGCCTTCCAACCTGAGGGGCTCATCTTCTAGCACTCTGTCCTACAAGGTCACTCTAAGTCAGAATTGACTTGATGGCAGTGAGTTTGGTTTTTTGGTTTTATGCTAAAGTTAGGGTATCTTTCACATCTGAGATTCTTTAAAGTCAACACTTACGAAGTGTTACTAATCAAAATGATTACTAATCAAGATGTAATATAATGTATAATTGAATGCAATCTTGGAAACTGTAGCCAATGACAGTTACAAACAGAAGGGTATGGTGGTCTGAGAAAGATTTGCAAAAAGGAGAGCTATAGTAGGATTTGTGGATATTCAGCTCACAGGATGTAAAGAAGAAGGAACTTGTATTTGGCAGACTTAAGTATTCCTGGACACTCTGGAAGGTGAAATAATGTGTCCACAGTCTAGTTAGTAAGCACATTCTATTCATTCTACTTTTGTGACAGGGCATGGAAAATTCTCTCATAATTTGTTCAAACTAAGGAGCTAAACTGTCCATCTTCTGTTTAGAATCATACATAATAAATGGTCTTCTAATGTCTTGTTTTCCAGATATCTTGAAACAGGAAGGCAGTACTTAGGATAGTAGACTTGGTATTCACCACCATAAATTAATAAATTGGCACATTTATCAAGAAGTCTGCTGGCATTTTGGCTTGAATCAGTTTCTCCAACCTTGATGATTTCTAGATGAACTAGAAAATTTCCCATTTCAAGTTTGAAAATATAAGCCAAAGTATCCCAGTCAAGAGTGGCACTTTCAACTGGAAACACTAGCGGGGCTTCTTCCTTAATCAAATTTATTACGTCCAAACTATCCAAAATATATGAAGAGAATAAAAACTATGTTTCACTTACTTTACCAAAAAATTTCATTTCTTAGAATGTCACTGAACGAATAAAGTTAAGAGTTTTAATTCTTGTCAATAAGTTAGACCTTATTTATCATATGACAATAATAGAAACCTTGGTATTAAGTGATTATGTTTATAATATCAAGGAAAGAGAATACCCACGCATGTAGTAAAATACACACTATTTTTAGCAACTAAATGGGCACTTAAATACCATGATAACCTAAGTTTATTTAGAACATAGATACAAAATATGATTTGGAGTGGGTATTTACCTCTTAAATAATGAAAATGTGACTGTACAAATTTAAACATTCTGAATAAGTAACAAAAAATTCATTGGAATGGAGTAGCCAGTGACAGAGCAGAGTTCTGCTTAGAACTGAAAACTGGATAAAATGCAGAAAGGACCTATTTGAAGGCAGCAGAAAGCTGCTGAGGCAGCACGATACAAAGGGGTTAAGACTTTGGAGTGGAGAGAACCTGGGAGGGGTAAGCTGACCTGTAACCACTTTTAGCCCATGGGCATTGATCAATTCTATGCACTGGCAGGATAACTGAGGCTATGACGAGAACAGAGAAACCAACAGAACTTTTGGCAGACATTTAGGGGTGGGGGCTTCAAACACAATTGATCTTCCCCTAATGTCTGAGGCTGTGCAGGGCAGTAAATTAAAAACCTAAGCAAAAATCTCTGACAAGCAGAGTGGAATATTTCAGCAATCTCTCAATACAAAGATCAGAGTTCTGATGCTTCAAGGGGCAGACATCTAAGATACTACAACAAGCTCTCTGTTGAAAATTCCAGAAAGCCAAGGTGAATGAGAGGTAGACTGAGCTTTATAGGACTACACTCCAGATTCAACTTCATCAGTTCCTGATTGGGAGCTCTGGTAGGGTAGTGCCTAGGACATTTGACTGCTAACCAGAAGCCTGGCGGTTCAAACCCACCGGTCACTCCTCAGAAGGAAGACTGGACAATCTACTTCCATAGAGATACCACCTGGGAAACCCAAGGAGGGGTCGCTATTGGATTAAGTGATTTCTCACCAAGTCATCTTCCTAGCAAAAGAAGAGTGAACCCTTTCTGGAAGGTGACACCATCCAGATCTCCTACAATTTTCTAATACAGAATGCCTAAAATTTGATAGACCTTCATTAATCCTGACAAAAGACAAGACCACATGACCAGAACCCAAGAGAAAAAGTAGACAATAGAAACAGCACTGGATCCAGATGTTGGCAAAAGCTAACAAACACTTTAAAATACCTGTGATTAATATGGTTTTAGAAACTATAGGAAAGATAGAGAAGAGAGATGACAAGAAAGAGAACTTCATCAACAATTTAAATCTAGTAAGAAGGAACCAACTGGTAATTCCACAACTAAAAGAAAACTCCTGTAATTAAGTGTAGCAATAAAAAGGGCGGACACATATAGATTGTAAATATCTGAATTGCCTTATGAGTGCACATTTTAAAAGTACATAATCAAGAGATGGAAGATGTACTGAACAAAGCATAAATTTAAAACATGTTGTTGTTAAGTGCTGTTGAGTTAGCTCCAACTCATAGCAACCCCGAATGAAACACTGTCTGGCCCTGTGCCATTCTCACAGCCTTGCTGTGTTTGAGCCCATCGTTGTACTTACTGTGTCAATCCATCTCATTGAGGGTCTTCCCTTTTTTTGCTGACCGTCTACTTTACCAAGCATGATATCCTTCTCCAGGGACTGATCCCTCTGACAACATAGCCAAAGTAGTTGAGATAAAATCTGGCTATTCTCATCTCTAAGGAGCTTTCTAGCTGCACTTCTTCCAGGGCAGATGTGTTCATTCCTCTTGCAGTCCAAGGTACTTTCAGTATTCTTCAACATCACAATTCAAAGGCATCAACTCTTCTTCGGATCTTCCTTATTCATTGTCCAGCTTTCACATGCATATGAAGCGACTGAAAATGCCATGGCTTGGGTTACGTGTACCTTTGACTTCAAAGTGGTATCTTTGGTCCTTAATACTTTAACGAAGTCTTTTCCAGCAGATTTTTCCAGTGCAATATGATTTCTTGACCACTGCTTCTATGGGTGTTCATTGTGGATCCAAGTAAAATGAAATTACTGACAACTTCAATCTTTCCTCCGTGTATCACAATGTTGCTTATTGGTCCGTTGTGAGGATTTTTGTTTTCTTTATGTTTGTAATCCATAATGAGGAATATAGTCTTTAATCTTCACACTAAGTACATCAAGTCATCTTCACTTTCAGCAAGCAAGGTTGTGTCATCTGCATATCTCAGGTTGTTAATGAGTCTTCCTCCAATCCTGATGCTGCATTCTTCTTCATCTTCATTCTTCGATTATTTACTCAGCATACAAATTGAATAAGTATGGTGAAAGGATACAACCCCAAGGTATACCCTTCCTGATTTTAAACCATTCAGTAACCTTTGTTCTGTTTGAACAAAAGTCTCTCGGTCTATGTACAGATTCCTCATGAGCACAATTAAGTGTTCTGGAATTCCCATTCTTTGCAATGTTATCCATAATTTGTTATGATCCACACAATCAAATATCTTTGCATTTTCAATAAAACATGGGTAAATATATCTTTCTGGTATTCTTTGATTTCAGCCAAGATCCATCTGACATCAGCAATGATATCCCTTGTTCCATGTCCTTTTCTGAGTCTAGCTTGAAATTCTGGAAGTTCCCTGCCAATATACTGCTGCAAATGTTTTTGAATTATCTTCAGCAAAATTCTACTTGTGTGTGATATTAATGATAGTGCTCAATAATTTCCCATTCTGTTAGATAACCTTTCTTTGGAGTGGGTACAAATGTGGATCTCTTTCAGCTAGTTGGTCAGGTAGCTATCTTCCAAATTCCCTGGCAAAAACAAGTAAGCACATCCAATGCTGTGTCTGTTTGTTGAAATATTTCAATGGGTATTCTACCAATCCCTGGAGCCTTGTTTTTCTCCAATTCTTTCAGTGTAGCTTGGACTTCTTCCTTCAACACCACTGGTTCTTGATCATACGTTACTTCCTGAAATTGCTAACTGTTGGCAAATTCTTTTGGTTCAGTGACTCTGTGCATTCCTTCCATCCTCTTTTGATGCTTCCTGCATCAGTCAATATTTTACCCATAGAATCACTCAATACTGCAATTCTGGGCTTGAATTTTTTCTTTAGTTATTTCAGCTTGAGGAATGCTGACATGTTCTTTCCTTTTGCTTTTCTGATTCTAGGTCTTTGCACCTTTCATTGCACAACTTCATTTTATCGTCTTGAGCCACCCTTTGAAATCTTCTGTTCAGCTCTTATATTTCATCATTTCTTCCATTTGTTTTAGCCACTCTTCATTCAAGAGCAATTTTCAGAGTGTCTTCTGACATCCATTTTGGTCTTTTCTTCCTTTCCTGTCTTTTTAATGACCATTTATATATAAAATATATAATAGGTAATATATATAGTATTTAAACAAATGTTCCAAATGAACAATAACTTGATTATTGTTTACAATAAAGCCCTTGTACAAAATCGGGACTTGGGAAAATTGCTTAGCAAGCTTTCTCTAATGTTCATGGATGATATTAATTATAATTATTTAATGCATATATTGTATCCAAAAGATGAAATAAGAATGGCCTTCAAACAGCAAAGACTGAAACAAAGAAGGCCAAGAGAAAATTGTAGCTCAAGATAAATTAATATAATTAGACAGATGTTTACCCTTTCAAATGAATTCAAGCTCTAAACTAAGGTTAATCATATGCCAGGATACTGAGAAAATTGCAGATGTCAGTTATCTTTGAAAACACACAAGAAATAGAAGGGCCAGAAAATTAGAGAACAGAAAATGCTCTAGTTTTCAAAAGGGGAAATATTTGGGTACACAATTTATAGATTGGTTGGTTAAGTGTCACACTGAAAACTAGTGCAATATGTTTATCACTTTCAAACACCTTGTAAGTATTTTGAAAACAATATCCTGATCACTAGGAGTCAATCTGATTTATGCCAAATTATATTTATAAATTGATAGGATTTATAAATTGATAGTTAGGCATAGTGCCTAAGATATTTGACTGCTAACCAGAAGGCTGGTGGTTCAAACCTACAGCCACTCCTCAGAAGGAAGACTGGAGAATCTACCTCCGTAGAGATACCACCTGGAAAACCCAAGGAGGGGTCACTATGAGTTGAATCGACTCGATGGCAGTGAGTTTGGATTTTTTTTTGGGGGGTGGTGGTACATACCCTATATTTTGAGCAGTATATTTGAGAAAATGTCCCATTACAGACTTGAGTAAGATAGTGGTTGAATTAAAGTACTATTGGCAGAGTTCATGATTATTTAAAAATTGGTTTATCAACTGATTGCTTAATGGAGTGGGATGTCAACCTGGCCTTTATACAATTTTATTGCAGCTATAGAAGGGATACTTATCTAATCTACAGAAATAAACCCAGGAGGGATGGGAAATATAGTCAATAACAGGTTATACATAAGTGAAGAGTAACAAGATGAAATCAAACAGGAATAAAATGAAAGGCCCACATTTGATTGAGCAAGATGGGTGACACAGATATAAGATGAGGCAGACCTAGTTTGGCAGTACTTGCAATAAAAACATGAGAGTTTTACTTAATTGTCAGCTTAATATAAATGAGCAAAGTGAAATTATTATTTAAAATGTTAGCATAATCATATATATATTGTTGTTGTTGTTGTTTGCTGTCGAGTCGGCCCCGACTCATAGCGACCCCTCCTTGGGTTTCCAAGGCAGTATCACTACGGAAGTAGGATTGTCCAACCTTCCTTTCGAGGAGTGGCTGGTGGGTTTGAACCGCCAGCCTTCTGGTGAGCAGTCAAGAGCCTTAGGCACTATGCTACCAGAGCTCCTAATCATATTCGTGTATATATATATATATATAAAAAACTTACTGCCATTGAGTAGGTTCTGACTCATAGGGGAATCCCTATGAGTTTCTGAGACGATAAATCTTTACGGAAGTGGATCGTCCTTCTTTCCTGGAGCAGCTGGCAGGTTTGAACCACTGACCTTCTGGTTAACAGCCAAATGCCTTATCTACTACACCACCAGCGAGCTCTCTTTCTCTCTCTCTCTCTCTATATATATACTATACATATACATATACATATACATATGTTGTTGTTGTTATGTGACATCGAGTCGGACCGGACTCATAGCGACCCCTCCTTGGGTTTCCAAGGCAGTATCACTATGGAAGTAGATTGCCCCATCTTCCTTCCGAGGTTTGAACCACCAGCCTTCTGATTAGCAGTCAAGTGCCTTAGGCACTATGCTACCAGAGCTCCTATATATATATATATATATATATATATATATATATATATATATATATATATATATATATTTGTTGTTGTGCACCGCCGTCAAGTTGGATCTGACTCATAGCGACCCCTCCTTGGGTTTCCGAGGCAGTATCACTACAGAAGTAGATTGCCCAACCTTCCTTCCGAGAAGTGGCTGGTGGGTTTGAACCACCAGCCTTCTGGTTAGCAGTCAAACGCCTTAGGCACTAAGCCACCAGAAATCCTATATATCTATATATATCTATTTCTATACACACACACACATATCCATATACGTAAACACACACACATATAAATATACATAGAATAACGAAAAAGTATTGTATTCTGTGCTGAAGCACTATGCTTCATTTTTTGGTTACATCTTATACATGATTTTAAAAAACCACAGAGAATCTAGGGGAGGGAGATCAGGATGGAGAGGTAAATGAAACCTACTCCCACTGCCACAGAGTCAATTCCAACTTACAGAGACTTTTTCTAGGACACAGAACTACCCCAAAGGGTTTCCAAGGCTATAAATCTTTACAGAAGCAGACTGCCTCATCTTTCTCCTGAAGAGCAGCTGGTGGGTTCAAACCACTGACCTTTTGGTTAGAAGCCCAATGTTTTAACCAGTATGCCATCAGAGATTCTTGAGAGAAATGAAGCTAACTCATAAATGGAAAAAAGGATATGTATGTGGCACAGAAAAAAACCTTATAGAAATAGAAATTACTTTCAATGTCTGAAAGCCTTTCCTATGGAAGAGGAGTTAAATATGATATTTTTTTACACCTGTGTAGCTACAGAGGGCTAAGATCAGCTATGAGGACAGAGTTGATTTAACATTTTTTTTTCCAAAAATTTCTAGCACCTGGTATGTTTTCTAACAATGGAATGAGCAGTTTCACTGGGAAGAGACATGAGGTATCAAAGGAGGGGTGGAGTAATCATATTTTAAGAATTTTATAAGAAAATTTATGTGGGTCAGAGGTTGATGTAAGAATTCTACGATACTTTACAGCTATAAGGAGCTCTGGTGACATAGCGGTTAAAGAATTGGGCTGCTAACCAAAAGATCAGTGATTCAAACCCACCAGCTGCTGTGCAGAAGAATGATGAGGCAGTCTGCTTCCATAAAGATTTACAGTCTTGAAAACCCATGGGCCAGTTCTACTGTATCCTATAGGGTTAGTATGAGTTGGAATTGACTCAATGGCAGTGGGTTTGGTTTTTGGTTTTACAGATATAACTCAGGATAACCAAAATGTAGTGTATACTACTAAATGTAGTGGAGCTTCATTGAACAAAAGACCTGCTACAGCAAAAAAAGAAAAAAAAGTCAAAATGAAGATTCATCTTGGACCTCATCTTCAGCTGCTGGAAATGTTGTAGGGAAATTGTTGCTTGCAGGGTCTCAACATAACTCAGAAGTTTGGCTGGGATTCTACTGAGGACTACGTAATAATAATGATGCATTTGGATTGCTAGCACTCTTTATTCTTAATAGTTAGAATAGCTTTCATGTTATAAACCAGCAGAGATCTAGAACTAAGCACGTATATAAAGACTGGGATTCAGGCCTGCTTTAGTTTGCCTGAAACTAAAAAGAACTTCCTAAGCCAGCACTGCTGATTAATAACAGATTTATGATTTTGACTTTGATTAAGTAATCCTTGAAGAAGGTGTGACGCATTTATAACATTCTCACCATATTTATTAAATTAAGGAACTCGAGTCCCAGGTCTTGGGTGAAAGAACTCTTCCTTAAAAATAGCTGCCACTGTTTGTCAGCCGAGACACACCCATACTGGGCTTTAACATCATCCTTCTCCTTCCAAGAGATTTCCGTTTGGTAAAACTCCTTTAGTCTCTGAGACTGCTCCTCTACCTAAAAAAGGAGAATACAAATGAAAGTTAAGAATATTTAAAAAAAAAAAAAACACTTTTTTTTTTTAAAAAGAAAAACACTAGGTCCCAATAAAAATCTACATAAAAGTTAAATTGAAGCTACATTTTCAGAATTTTAAAAATAATTATTAAATATTGTAAATTTACTGAAAAGACATGAAAATTATTTAGGTTGTTGGCAGAGAGAACTACATTGGGTAGTAAACTGAGCTGCTGAGTTTATTACTCATAAGAACTACTTATTATAGCCAAAATCCTATTTATGTACTATGTATATTTGTGTGTGTTTTTAACTTGGGACAACTTATATCAAAGACCAATGTGATTCCATTTAAAGCTGAGTTGATAATTGCTGAGTTTATAATTCAGTAGAAAAACTTTTTTAAAAATAAAAAATACAAGTCAGAAAGAAATGTAAATCAGTGAATGATAATCAGTAATTAGTAAATCGCAGGAGTTGCTTCTAATCAGTGATGAACTGGAACAAAAAGAGTACAAATAATCACTAATTTTCTACATATGTATTAATTGTAAACTGCCTTTATGAGTTAATCTTATTGAAATACATTGCTTTGCCTCCCTAGAACTATATTTTCTCATTTGCAAACCAACATTACAGCAGTATTAGATTCTTTTAAATCACTCTCCTTGAGCAGAGCTTATATAAAATCAAATGTGCCTGCAGAAATAAAGATTAATATGTAATTGGGTGATACAGGAATGGTAGAAATTATTTGACACAAGTTTTTATGCGTTTTGAATAAATGCCAAGAAGACATGACTCAGGTTGCTCATAAGTACTAAAAGCAATCTAGACATGGTAAGAAATTTCAGGCAATGGCTAGTCATTATATTTCAAAGATTTTAATATTATCCTTAATTTAAATAAGTTAATAGAAAAGCCTGGGACCGGTTCTCAGAAATGGAAGTTCTCTCTTCATTAGCTGTATTCCATGTGTTCAAGCCTCGGGAATGTGCTGATGCTTCTTCTCTCTGACCCGAAAACTCCTCCTTATCCATCACAAACGAGTTAACACGCTACCTCCTCCATGGCACCTTTGAAGGCTCCCTGGTTTGAATTAATCATTTATTTCCCTGGGTTCTCAAAGGTAGTTTGGGGTGAAAGAAATCCATAAGCAAATTATTACAATACAGAGACAAGCATACATACAATGTTAGGGGCACAATGAGGAGGAACCGCCAACTCATCGAGGGAAAATAGGAAAGAACTTCCCAAAGGAAGCAACATTTGACCTGCATCTTGAGGAATTATTGTGCAGGGAAAGGGGATTCCAGATGGAAGGAACAGCATGTATAAAGGCACATGTTTTAAAACAGTGACTGGTTCACAGGATAGAGTGAGTAAACTTCAGGCAGTACAAACTTGAGTCACAAGAAAGGGGACAATTGTGCTGGGATAACACTGGCCAGCAGGTTTCAACCTCATCTGGTAATGGAAACATGATTGTCATTCATTTCCATTGTCTGAAACAACTGACTCAGAATCAGCATGACAATCATCAGTACTTCAATAGGGTGGTACACTACAGGTTGTGGTGTCAATGTGATGGGCTGTTGGTTATGTACAATTCTGAAAACATAAACTTTAATGCATCTTCCTTTCTACTTGCACAAAAAAAGTTTCCTTGAATCCAAGTGAAGTAATGTCATTACAGGAATTCCTTTGAATCTCCTCTACTTTTTTAATTAATAATAATTAATAATAAAACTTAATACTTTATCAGTTTCAGGGAAGGTTATTTTCAATTTGCTTCAGAAATTACATTTTCCAGTGGCACCTGAATTTCATGAGGTAACATGATCAGATTTGCTTTAGAATAATCTTTTGTTGCAAAAAAGGGAGAGAGTGAAGGACAAAACTGAGGAGGCAGAGAGAACAGAAAGAAGTCAATTTCATTAAACTAGGCAAGAGATGGCAAGGACTTGCAACAATGAAATGACAGTAGAAATTCAGAGGAAGGGAAATTCAGAAATCTGAAGGTAAAGCTATTAGGATGTAACTGTGGGCCAAGGGGAAGGAAAGAATGGAAAACACAAATTTGAAAAATTAAAAGATTATTGCCAAACTAGATGTAGGCGTATACAGGGAGGGACTAATTAGTGCTAAACAGGGATAAGGGCTTTACTTTATGGGAGACGGGAGGGTGGGTGAACATATCGACGGGTTTGGAAATAGAAGGAAATTAAGATAGTTATGTTCAATGGCTTCAGTTTTTTTTTCTGGGAAGTATAAAGTAAGGAACAGGTCTGGTGCTGTAGTAGTTAAAACCTTTGACTGGTAACCAAAAGGTGGATGGTTCAATCCCAACCAATCAGTCTGTAGGAGAAAGATGAGGCAGTCTTCCCCATAAAGATGTACAGCCTTGGAAACCCTATGAGGGTTTCCTAAAGGGTCACTATGAATCACGATCAACTTGATGGCAGTGGGGTATAAGGAAAAGACCTGGGCTGAGATTTAGGGATAAAAACTGGAGTAAGGTGTTTGAAAATCACTCCTGAACGGGAGCCACTAGGGAGCATATGTGGTTCCCAAATGAGGCAAGGACTCTGAGTGGACTTTGTGGCTCTACTCTCCACTAAGCTAATTGGTACCAGCACCAATCAGCACAATTGTATGATTTTTCACACTGGCAGCTGGAAGCTTGGAAAAGAAAGCTGAGCAAACAGAGTGCTGGGTTAATATAGTATTGGAAATTGGCTGGGTTAGTCAGGGGAGAAGGCAGGGAGTTGAGGGGATGGAGACTGAAGTGGAAATGAATGAGGAAAGAAGAAAAGCCATGGTCAGGGTGAGCAGTGACAGACTGGGAGCCTTGTCAGGATAAGATGGACAAGAGGTTCTTCCAGGTAGAAAAACAGATTTAGTGAAAGCTAAATCTTCCCCAGATTTAGGGAAGATGAGAGGACCTGAGTTACTTCTGAAAAAGTGTCATGAAAAAGTGAAGCTCAGGTTCTAACTCTGGGTAGCCTCCTGGTTCACATAGGTCCAAGTGGACAACAAAGTTGAATGCTTAAATGGATATCAAGAAGGTCCATTTTTGGCAGGGAAGACAGAGAGAAAGGATTTCTTTGTACCTCCTTCTCTCACATCAAGTCCTGAATAAAAATGTTCATCAATAGGATATTCATGTCAGTAGCAATGCTGCTGTTTGAGAGTTCTGTGTGAAGAAGAACTAAAAAGAAGCCAGAAATGGTGAAAGATCAAATAAAGTTGTGGAATTGGAGGTGGTGCCTACTTGAGATATTCAGGGACTTGGCATGGACCTCCTTCAGAGTTCTAGGAATTTAGAATATTACCGGGGAGCTCTGGCAGCGTAGTGCCTAAGGCACTTGACTGCTAACCAAAAGGCTGACAGTTCAAACCCACCACCCACTCCTTGGAAGGAGGATGGGGCAATCTATTTCCGTAGTGATACTGCCTTGGGAACCCAAGGAGGGGTCGCTATGAGTCGGGTCTGACTCGACGGCACATAACAACAACAATAACAGAGTATGACCAAATGAACTAGACTGAGATGTGTGCATGTGGGAGAGTGGTGCTGGGAGGCAAGGGTGAGGATGGTAGGAGGGTAGAGGAAAAAAAATAGTAACTGTTGCTGTCAAGTTGATTCCGACTCATGCTGACCCCATGTGTTTCAGAGTAGAATTGTTCTTCACAGGATTTTCAATGGTTATGATCTTTTGGAAGCAAATGACGGTCAGGCCTTTCTTCCGAGGTACTTCTGGGTAGATTCCAGCTGCCAACCTTTTGTTAGTAGCCAAGCACGTAACCATTTACACCACCCATGGACTCTTTGTTAGGAGGACAGAGGTGAGAAAATGGAAAACTAGCATGTTATTTCACTGGGGGGCTTTACTCTGAGTGGACCTTGCTGGCTCTACTTCCTGCTGAACCAGCCCTTCCTCACTGAACAGAAGAGTGAAAAGCATGCACCTGGAATGAACTGGACCTGGGTTAAACATGAGTGGGACTCTAGCACTTTTCTGTTACTAAATCTATCTTTGAGCAACTGTTGTTGTTGTTGTTGTTGTTATGTACCGTCCAGTCGGACCTGACTCATAGTGACCCCTCCTTGGGTTTCTGAGGCAGTATCACTATGGAAGTAGATTGCCCCATCTTTCTTCCGAGGAGTGGCTGGTAGGTTTGAACTGCCAGCCTTCTGGTTAGCAGTCAAGTGCCTTAGGCACTACACTACCAGAGCTCCCAACTTTTGAAAGATGGAATCCTTATTTATTACTGGGAATATTAAGGATTTTCTAGTGTGGTACATACAGTGATGTCCCCTGCCAAAAATGCTCATGTTCTAATACTCAGAACCTGTGACTATGTTACCTTACTCAGTCAAGGGGACTTTGCATATATTGTTTAAGGATTAAATTAAGGATCTTCAGATGGGGAGATATTCCTGAGTAATCTAGGTAGACCCAATGTAATCACAAGGGTCCTTATAAGAGGAAGGCAGGAGGGTCAGAGACATAGAAGGAAATACGATGATAGAAGTAGAGGTCAGAGAGAGATTTGAAGATCTTTTGATGTTGGCTTTGAAGATGGAGGAAGGAGCTATGAACCAAGGAATGCAGGAAGCCTCTAGGAGCTGAAAAAGGCAAAGAACTCCCCTAGAGCTTATAGAAGGAATACAGCCCTACCAACATCTTGGTTTTAGCTCAGTGAAAGCCTTTTGGACTTCTGACCTCCAGAACTAATAAGACAATAAGTTTCTGTATAAGCTGCTAAATTTGTGGTAGGTTATTATAGCAGCCATAGAAAATTAATACATCTAGTACCAACCATTGAAAATAAGGCCTCAGAATATTTTCTATTACTAAAATCTATCTTTGAGAACTAGGACTTTGATCTATCTTAGAGAAACTATGTAGCACAAATCACTAAGGTGATTTATTATAAGACATTAAATAAGACAGCCTTGAGACTGGACCCAACAGACTTTGAGCTCTAGTTCTGTGTATTTTAAATAAACCACATGAATTTCTTCACTATTCAAAGAGATCCATGGTTTAGAAAGTGACTTATTTTAAAATAAATTTGTTCTCTGTTTAGGATAACGTAAGTATCTGTAGGGCATAGTAAAAAGTGTTCTAATGCAACCATTCTATTTTTTATGCATATTATTTACACACATAGTTTATTACTTTTTAAATTAAAAACAACTTACTCTTTGAGTCTTTGTGTTAGTTTGCATGTACCCTAGGTGGTGTAAACAGTTACCATGCTCAGTTACTGACTAAAAAGCTGGAGGTTTGAACCCACCCAGAAGCTTCTCAGAAGAAAGGCCTGGCATTCTGCTTCCAAAATAATCAGCCACTGAAAAATGCTATGAAGCACAGTTCTACTCTGACACACATGGGATTGCCATGAGTCCAGCTGACTCCATGGCAACTGACTGGTATGGTGCCTTGAAGAATAAAGATGAACTTGTAAGTTAGGTCATGCACTTGGGTGGAGGATATGGAACTACCCACCATGGGAGGCCTTATCTTTCTATAGAAAGCAGGAAGACAGGCAGAGACCACCTTAGATGACACATAGGTACCTTAGAGACACATAGGTACCTACCTCCTCTGATGACTTTAGAAATGCCACATGAGTTTGCAGGACTCGAGACCTAGAGCCAACACTTTGGCCAAGTATTTTTAATTCTTCTTCTAACCATTTAGCTTTAGAAGAAAGTGATGTCACTTCATCAGGCTCAAATTCATTTTTCTCCGTCATGAGTTTTGCAGCTGCTTCTAATTCATGTGATGCTTCCTATGAAAGCAAAGCACAGGAGGTCAGAAGCTGACAGGGCCTCATGAACATTCACATTTCATTACCTTCTGTGCATCCATCTATTACGATTATTAATTGAACTTGTACCAAGACTCTCCTCAATAAAAGAAAGGGACAACATTCAAAATTCAAAAATAAAGGCACTGAAAAATGAAAATCATCTCAAATTACTCTTTAGCTCCATCAGGTACACTTCTTATTTAGAGCATTCTGTTTTCTGTGTCACAGATAGAAGAAAAGGTTGTTTGTTTGTTACAAAAGGTTTTAAAACAAAACGCCAGAACAGTAATTATACTTGAGAACTGCTTTATGAAAATTAACAATAGATCTAGTGAATTCGTAAACCAATTTTGTCATACAAGAGTTGGCAAATTTACAAAAGTTATTTCTTTGTTTTTTAATTCATTAAAAAAAATGGCATTAATTATACTTATGCAGTCTCATTTGAAATTCTATCTAGAAGGGATTTTAAACAAGTGTAAGAGAAACGTTACATATTAAGTCTAAGTAACTTAAAAAAGTGGTTTTCACATGTTTGGGGACACTCTTCTATGTTTTCTTTTGAGTGCAATTTCTGACATGTGAAACTTAACCTCTCATTAGATGGTTGAGTAGATATTGTAGGTATCACATATACAATTGTTACAGAAAAAAAACATGTAAAACTTCATTTGAAACCAAGGTAGGAATCAAACAAAAAGCAAGGTAAAAGACTCACTCTTATTTTCAGCAAGGAGGGATTACTTCCCTTCTTGTATTTAATATGCAACCCAAGTACTCCACTGAAGGAAGATAATTTTAATTTACAAGTGCTGCTTCATGCTAGCACTCTGGGAAAGAGGGTAGGGAGGGAGTTTCTCCCATGTTATTCCCTCCCCCACTTCAAAAATCAAAAAAAAAATTGAGTCTGGACATAAATTTTGAACATTTTAAATAAAGAATGAAAAACACCTCATCAAGTAAAATATTTTTTTAAAAAAATTGTTCCATCTGTGACTTTCAGGGAGAGAGGGACTGCTTGAGGCTCTTCTGAAAACTGATGGAATAACAAGGCAATTTCCTGCCTGCCTGGGAGAGACAGAAGGAGGGTGTTTTACTCACCTTTCTAAACACCTGCTGGAGCAGGAAGGTAACTTCAGTGCTAACGGGATTTTTTCAATCTACATCCCTCGTGACAGGAAGAAGGGAGCTAGAGAAGCTGCTAGAGAGAAGGGGAAAACTCTCTGCCTCTGAACAATGAGTGTGCAAACAGGTTATGTTTTTAGTTACCTGATGGATTCTCACAATGATACATGTTAAATTCTGGCAATGTTTTGTTGCAACTTGCTCTAGCAGAAAAGCACAGACAGTCTTAGAGAAGCACCCGCTGTTTCTTCTGGTACCCCAAAATTTGCTAACATCAACCAAGCATGTTGTTGTTGTTGTTATGTGCCGTCGAGTCAGACCAGAGTCATAGCGACCCCTCCTTGGGTTTCTGAGGCAGTATCACTACGAAGTAGATTGCCCAACCTTCCTTCCGAGGAGTGGCTAGTGGGTTTGAACCACCAGCCTCCTGGTTAGCAGTTAATTGCCTTAGGCACTGTGCTACCAGAGCTCCCTCAACCAAGCATAGAAAAAGCCAAATGCATGTTTAATTACATGCAGTACTGCTGAGTTTCAGTGAACTCAAGCAGCTAATAAATGCACATATAAATAATTAAGACACACATAATATCATGAGTTTTTAAGTCATTATTTTAAGTCATTTTTTTTAAAGTCATTATTTGCTACAATACTAATTTAGAAGTTAGGATTAAGTTTTATAGCTATTGAATGTGAAGAATATACATTCACAGAATCAAAACCACAATAATGATAATTATTTTATTTACCTTAGCTTGGGTATCCAGTTCCAGATATTTATTCAAAATCTTCTCTGATTCAGACAGACTGGAACTAACATCTATTGGATTGGAAAGTACTGGACTGATTTTCTGAATTGACAATTCCACCTTTGTAAATAATCATGAGATATATAAATATGTCATAATATATAAATAATACATACAATATATTGCAATCTTAGTATATATTTGCATATATGTATGCAGTAAAGAGGAAGCTCTGGTAGCATAGTGCCTAAGGTATTTGACTGCTAACCAAAAGGCTGGTGGTTCAAACCCACCAGCCACTCCCCAGAAGGAAGGTTGGGCAATCTACCTCCATAGTGATACTGTCTCGGAAACCCAAGGAGGGGTCACTATGAGTTGGGTGCGACTCTACGGCAATGAGTTTGGTTTTTGGTTTGATGTAGTAAAGATAAATACTGTTCTATATTTTCATTACACTTCAAATACATTCTGTCAATTTTCATTTGAAAACTAGTTTTAAATATTTCAGAATTTCACACTCAAATTAATAATGCTGCTCTTGATATGCGGTAATACCACTGACCCACCATCAGAGGGTATATGTTTGAAGATATTTCTTTTGTTAACACCAGTGAGATAAAAGACATTGTCCACATACTCCAGGAATTTATCTTTATTATCCAGAAAGGACAATACACTTGCCAAAACAGCAAGGGTGATGAATTCATTTGATTAATTAACTCACAGCCGTGCACTGTTTAAGTTGATTGGGACACAATTTCCAGGTAAACTGGAAGTAGGGGTTCAGAACCCACCCTGTGGGTTGCTGTATTTTGGGCTTGCGGGGCTCTGGGACAGCACCTAACCCTGTACACATTAAAGTAAAACACAGGGACACACTTAACCCATTTAATTATTAAACTTAGAGGAATATGATTTAATCTTCAGCACACATGAATCAATGAATAAATAACCTTTGAGTTCTAGGAGGTGTGGTGGCATAGTAGTTAAAGCACTGAGCTTCTAACCAAAAAGTCAGCAGTTTTAACCCACCAACTACTGTGCAGGAGAGGAGCAATCTGCTTCTGTAATGATTTACAGCCTTAGAAACCCTATGAGGCAGTTCTGCTCTGTCATAAGGTCACTAACAACCAAAACCAAACTCACTGCCATCCAGTCAATTTGACTCATAGCGACCTCTCCTTGGGTTTCCGAGGCAGTATCTCTACGGAAGTAGATTGTCCATTCTTCCTTCTGAGGAGTGACTGGTGAGTTGACTCAATGGGTTTGGTTTAAGTGGGTTCTAGTCCTTACTTTCTTCATCTCTTTGCTCTAACTAGAATCCATACTTCAGAGTCAAATTGACTCTGAAATGGCAATAAGACAAGTAGCAACAGCTGTTTGAGTTCCTACTGTGTTTCAGACTACTACAGAATTAGCTTGACTCCCAAGCTCTAGGGAATGTGGGCACCCCACAGCTGCACCATGTTTGGAATCCCCCTAGAACCAGGCATGAGAACAAGCCTCAAATTCCCAAGTTTTCGAATAGATAACAGGTGGGGAGGCAATTTAAATAGAGACCTGGGTAGCTCTTAATATCAATTATAGAAATAAGGAAATACATATATTTAATGTCTCTCCTGTGAAAACTACTAATTCTACATGTGTAAGTATGATATATTTATCCATTAAATTAAATTAAAACATAATTGAAAATGTGAGATCTAGCCAATACAGTAAAGTTTGTTAGCATTAATATCTTTGGTATATTACCAGTTTTTGTTATATATCCCACCTACAGATAATTTGTTATTCATTCAAGTAGTAGCTGCCCTGATTTCATTCTCCTTTGAAAATAGAAAATAATATTCTCCCATCCCAAGCCATTTTGTTCACTTTGTAACGATGATCTCCATGTGTGGTTTTGTACAGAATGGCCATGTCTTTTGCCCTGGCTTGGTTCTGTAAAGTATACTAATGGCATTGTTATTACCTGGAGAAACCTAAAGTTCATAATTTTTGGCATCAGCTAATATCTCTGTCTCTGTCTGTCTGTCTGTATCTATCTATCCATCCATCCATCAAGAGGCAGTGCTCCCTTTGTACAACACGATGTTAAATGAAACGTGCATATTGAAAGCATGCACAGAATCCTGCAAGTTGGAGATATAATGGTTATGGTTCAGTTAACATGGTACTATGAAAAGTGAGAACTAATTTGTGTATATATATGCAGGGCTAGTGTGACAAGATAAGGACCTCTGGTGGTGTAGTGGGTAAGACATTTGGCTGCTAACAAAAAGGTTGGTGGTTCAAATCCACCAGCTGCTCCACATGAGGAAGATGAGACAATCTACTTCCATAAAGATTTACAGCCTTGGAAACCCAATGGGGTTGCTATGAGTCAGAATCAACTTGATGGCAGTGGGCTTGGCTATTGTGACCAGATAGAGTTATGTATCTATTTTTACAACCTGGATCAGGGATAATTGACAAGCAAGGGTGAGTTTCAACTTTGTTTTGTTTAATTATAGGACCTGAAGTTGAATGAAAGAGAAGCCTAAGGAGATAAGCTCTTATCCCCCCACCATGTCCCCATAGAGCAGTTGCCACACGTCTATTATCACCAAATTAGAAAAAGCTACCTTTGCAAATGCAATTAGAGCCATTGTATCTAAATATTAGCTTTAGGAGAACATATTTTATGCAACTACCTTCCTTAGGTGACCCTCCACTGAGGCTGTTAGTTGCTGTTTCTTAAGAGCGAATTCCTTGTATGCTGAACATTGTTCGGTCAGATGATCCACTCGTCTCTGAATGCATCCTATCATCTCATGGATCCCGGTCACCCGAGGGCTGAACGGAACAAGCCAGCTGTTAGATCATTTTACCCCAATATGAAAGCAAGCCCCAAGAACAGGAGCATTTGGAAACAGATCTGCTCTTTCATGTAGGTATGAATTGAAAGTTATCAGATTCAGAGTTCAGAATCACAGAAGTTAAGTAGCTACTGTCCTGGTACAGCAGACAGCAAAAACGAATTGTACTCCTTTGTTTAAGCTGGTCAGTCCTGAGGGATAAGAGGAGTTATGAGTTTTTACAAGCAGGTCAAACTTCTTTTCTAAAGATTTACTTGATATATTTCTCTAAGATATTTTGAGATGTTTATAGCAAAAAGTACAGTATGTTTGCCAAAAATTTTCCTGGGGGTGTTATTTAAAAGCTTCATTTATCTAAGGTGCTCTTTGAATAGAAATTTGGATCAGCCAATTAATAGAGCATTTACTAATCCAAAAGGGTAAAATATTTATGTAACACCAAGGTCCTTGTTCTTGATGATTATCAATGCTCAAGGCTGTGTTCATTAGGTGAAAATCAAGTCATCATCAACAATTAGGAATTAAATGTACTAGTTTGTAAAAAAAGAAAATAAGCCTCACATTGTCATTTTTCACCAGTGATAGCCTCATGAAAAAAAGAAAAATGACATTAAGAGTTTACAAAATGAAAATGCCTTTAAAATAATGTATGAGCTTTGAGTTGGACTGCTGTTGCTGTAAAGCAGGTTTCCTAGCTAGCTCCAACTTGGGCATACTGGCAGTGCAAGGCAATGAAAGAATGTTTCTGATGGAATGATTACTTAAAAATTTTTCAACCTAACTTTGAAACAGAACATGTTGGAAGTCTTTAATTTTCTGTCAGTCACTTCTTCAAATACTAATAAAGATGAACAAGATAACTCTTAAATTTAATTTCATAGAGTTTAAAAAGATTGTGGAATGAGGCACAGGTATCAGAAATTTTACCTCAAATAATTAATTTATGATTGTGAAAATGAGCTTAGTTAGTAATGAAATGAGAGCAAGATCCCAAAGGACACAGAGATAGAAGAACTTCAACGGAATGACAAAGAGACTGCAAAAGAGGTGAGAGGTCATCAGTCTGCTGGAGAATCCTCCTGTTTGTCAAATGTGCCTGGGACTCTGATGTATCCTATGGGTACCACTGACTTCCCAAACAAGAGTCATCGGGGAAAAGTAAAACCACTGGGAGAAACGTTATTCCCACCACATAATGTTCCACATTACACTTCAAACTATTAGGCTTCCATTGCAATACTCAGAAACAGTGAAGAATATAATCACGAAATCAGGAAGTTTTAGAAATGATTCTTACGATACTTAAATCCACAAACTCTGCAAAAGCAGTGTTCAGTGGTACTAGTCATACTATAACTGGGTTTTAGACTTCAAGACATTATATGCTAAAAAGGCACTTAAACTCCTAGTGGTCCTAAATAATCTAGGTTCCATGTTTTCTGTAGAATATGGGAATCTGAGATGAGAAATACAAAGTAAGAGGCACAGTGGAAAGAAAGTATAGAGAATGAAATTTGTGGAAATGCATAAGCATACAGAAAAGAAATAATGTTAGAAATAGCAGAAAAATCCCTTACTGAAATAAAAGGAATCAGGAAATGATTACTATAATTCAGAAAGATAGAGTTTGATTTATATTCCTATTTGCTGATGATATGATCCTATACCTAGAAAACTCAAGAGACTCAGTCAAAAATCTACTGGAACTAATTGAGAGATTTAGCATTGTGGCAGGATATAAGATCAACATCCAAAAATCAGTTGGATTCCTCTA